ACATTCTCGTATACCTTCGTATACATTTTTACATGTCTTCATCTATAAAGTAATGTGCCTTTGTTAAGATATTTTAAACCTTAAACCCAAAACACTAGACCTTAACCTAACTGAAATCTTAAACCCTAAACCCTAAACCCTAAACACTAGGCCCTAACCTAATTGAAATGCTTAAACCTTAAATCCTAAACACTGGACTCTAACCTAATTGAAATGATTAAACCCTAAACCCTAAACACATTATGTTTTTTATTCGGTTTAAATTTTTGTAATTCAATTAGGCTATGAATGAGACCCTTGCCTAATTAAATTACAAAAATTTATAAGTTGATGGAGGGTCCGGATTAATAATAGATTAAGATTTATTTCGTATTGTTTAGGGATAATTTAGTAATTTTAAATTATGCAATTTGGGTTTTTTTTAATCGTTTTCCTATTTAAAGGTTTCAGCCGCTTCATTATAAAACAGTTGTTGATTTTATAAAAGTTGAGAGTTCATCTCATAAATCCCAAGACGTTGAACTTTGGTCCCTAATTCCGGGTATTCTCAGAATCAACGAGATTAAGGAATGTCGTATTTCTGGATATTCGTAGAATCAAAAGATTTATGATGAGTTACTTATTAGGGTTCGAGATATAGCCGTCCGCCGGCTGCATCAGTTGGTATTCAGAGCCTAACGATCCTACGGCAGTGCCTTCCTTTGTGGATCTATTGAAAATGTTGATTAGTTACCAATTTGGATTTGTTTCTCTGATTGATCTAGTTGATTGGTGGCTGCTTAGGGATATATCAGTGTGTACGACAGCTTTGGATTTAATTTGTTCATTTGTTACTTTGGTTCAGTTAACGAAATAGTTGAGGGCACTTGTGTTGATTTGGTCAGTGTGTTCATTGATCTATATCAATTGTTGGGGGCTCTTTATTCATAATTGATTTTTGCCTTTTCTTATATGCGTATCCAAGTTTTAAGGAAGAAGTTCTTGAAAATTTGTGGATTCAAAGGTAAATCTGTTGCATATCTTTGCTCTGGGAATTGAGGGTAGGTTGTTCAGAATTGATTGTTGGTTGTATACTTTAATTAATTGATCGACGATATTACACGGTTTGTGGATGATTGGCGTTAATTGTCAGCTGCATTGCTAATTGGTTTCATTAATGGAGTGGACGCTATCTAGTAATTTCGTTTGGGGCAGATTTGGAGTTGATTTTGTAGCTGCAGAAATTGTTCGAGAATTTGGTTTTCCTTTTTCTTGATTTAATCTACTAATGCCTCCAAGACGCAAGAAACATAGAACTGATGGCTTGGTGGAGAGAATTGATCAATTGCCCACCAATATTACACAACCACATAGCGGGACAAGGAAGCCATTCAACAAGCCGAGGTCGAATTCGCACCACTGTCGCAGAGATTATGCCCTTGAGAACCCGCAACGACATTATCGGAAGGTTAAGACGGAAGTCGATACTCGACCGGAGAAAACAAACATGCCTACGAAGATCCCGAAATTTCATGGGAATGGAATACCAGAAGAATTTATTAAATGGTTGATGCAGGTGGAAAAATTTTTAGATTTTAATCGCATTTCCGATGAAAACCGAGTCAAGCTGGTCGCGAATAGGTTCCGTGATCGCACTTCAGCTTGGTGGACACAGCTCAAGTTGGACCGCAATCGTCTCGGCAAGAAGAAAACCCGCTCTTGGTTGGAAATGAAGAGGGAGCTTCGGGATGAATTCTTGCCACCACATTTTCAGCATATTTTCTATTCCCGACTTCAAAATCTCCGACAGGGGAAGTTGTGGCACCCGTGCACAGCTGCCGCAGAATTGCTCCATGGAGTGTGGTTTCAAGGAGTTGTATCATCATAGGAAGCATAGCGCCGCATCATCTCATTATCATTCTGATTTCTGAAGCTACCTTTGTCAACACGACTTCCGTGGATTGTCACACATTTGAAGTTTCACGAAGCTACATTGGGCTGCAACACCGTCGTAGGCTACGGGTTGAAACAACTCAACCACTCATGAAGGTGGGTTGCCGTTCCGAAAGTTCGATGGATTCCTACTTACAGGGAAGCGAGCATAATTTGGACATGGAAATCCATATTTTAAGAATCATCCTTTGCTAAGTTTTGAATGTCAATCTAAGTTAAAGTAAGCGCTCCATCAAAATAAGTTTATAGACTATAATTTATATGTTCGATCGAATAAAACAAAAACTAGACAGAACTAAATAATAAAGCAAAACCGGATGTGCAAGTACCTTGTTAAATAAAGTTTTACCTTACAATATATATTCTCATAAATTACAGTTACGTGGTAAGAACTATCATAGACGAAGGATATCGAGGAGGACTTTTGTGAGTAGGTTATTCTGCTACAATATAATATAGCTATACGTGAAAATAATCATAATATAACTGATCAGGAATAATTCCTATTTTCTACTCATTAGCATCATTTTGTTTGCAGGATTACCAAACCACAACAATTAAACCTATCCTACTAATAGGTAAGCGAGTATAATTTGGACACGAAATTCTGGATATCAACTACAGAAGTCATGCCGACTTCAGCTGGCATCGATTTGACAATGGAGTTTCTATAGATGGTGACTCTTTTGGCTGATTATTCGACACTGGAAATCCATATTCCAGGAATCATCCTTTGCTGAGTTTTGAATGCCAGACGAAGTTAAGTAAGAGCTTTATCAAAGTTTATAGACTATCAATTCATCCGTTCGAATAAGACAAAAACTAGAAAGAATTAAATAATAAAGAAAAAAATATTAATACAATGAAATGTTTGGAGCCTTGATTTTAGTATAATCATGGTGACGCTCATTTGTGTGTATAAACGAGAATTTGCTTTCTTCTTGAACGGATTGTAAGTTCTTGAAATTACCGAATGCGCAAGTACCTTTAATAGGTTTTACGTTACAATTTTCATAAATTACAGTTACGTAATATCTACTTTTTCTTTTAATCAGTTCAAACTTAGATCTTTTTCATTAAACAACAAAAACAAGTATGCAAATTTGTTGGAAACTAACATGTACATTGTGATCAACATAATCTCAACCAATAAATCCTCTAGTCTAAGAGTAAATCAATAATTTGTTTCCTACAACAGGAGTTGTCTTTCTAAGTTGATTGGTTTTATTTCATCTTTGATCCGTTTTATCTTCTTTTATTAGAAAGATATAAGTGAAAACAGTACAGAAGCTCACAAAAATTTTATTACATTTTTAAAAACAAGTACTTGACTTCAGATATCCTCTCTATATATACCACATTGCATTGTGATTGTTTTGTTTAATTTCTTTCTTCTTCTTTTTTTATAATCTTGAAACTTCCTACTCTTGATGACACCTCTCCGTAACAAAACTGGTAGCATGGTGAGCCTTAGTTAGTTTTGACTTTTGCCCCTTGCACTTCAATTTAATTTACATGAACATGATAATTTTTTTTAAAAAAACACAATAATTATATGGTGGACTAGAATTTAATTATTAGAATCTGCATAAAATCATATGTTTTTAACTTCGAATAATAAGGGCTAATTAAGAGCCAACGAAAATGTCATGCGTTTTCAGTTTTCTGGTTAGAAAAACTAATCAGGGTTTGGGCTTTTAATTTCGTGCCAAAGAAGCTTAGTTTAGGGTTAAACGTACGTCATAAGCTTAACATTATTTAGAATCCCAACTAGCTTAAGTGATTGCTTAAGCTTAATCCCTGATCCCATAAGGTGGTCAAAATGATGACGGAGCCATAGAAATAGTGAATCTTATTACAACACTTCCGTATCTCACTAATATTCTTTATCCATATACTCGAGAAAAAAAAAAATAGATGCATGGTCTAAGTTTAATCTTGAATGCTCATCAAGTGCTGCCTACGTGGAAGTCGATGCCTGAAAATAAACCTCCATCGCCGGAAAAGACTGAAACCTCAAATTCAAGAATGGTAGCCGGAATTCAACTAACAGAACACCACAAACGAAATAAAAAAGAGAAGATCACCTGAAGAATACTATTTTATTGGGGAAATGAGTCCCATCCGTTGTGGAGTTGATCATCATTCAACAAAATTCAGAAATTGAAACACACAAAGTAATGATCAGAATTCAGAGTAGAATTAATCTTGGGATATCTGCCAAACTGCACCAAAAACTTCAAGAAAAGAAAAATTTTCGGACAGATCCCACCCACAGAAATAAAATATGTTTACATTCATACAACAGAACAGAAATGTTTTTTTTTTTTTGTTTGGTTTACATCGGAGACGACACACCTGAATCTATAGACATTACATGGCTTCTATCCTCTCTGTCTCCAAATTCTATACAGATTCTATAATTCAGAAAGACAACACTATAGAAAGCTATAATTAACTAATAGTACTTTCTATCGAAACAGAAGTACGGTACCGTATGACATCGGATGAGAGCAGCCATTTTAATGGCAGAGAGAACTCCCATCTTTATTTTTGCAGAAATAAAAAAAACCTAACTTACCGATATGGTTTGATTTGCTGGCAGCCTTCTTCATCCAATTCTTCTTCTTCTTTGTTTTTTTCTTGTTTTCTTCCCATCAGAAACCATTCACCAACTTCTATTCTCAATTCCAAACTCCAAATCCCTTCCGTTTTTTCCTCCTCCTCCTCCTTCTCCTCTCTCTCTCCCACTTTTTTTTTTCTTCAACACATTTGAAACCAAGTCACAAATTGCTGTACTAAAATCCAAATTCCAGACCCCTTTTTTTTTTTCCTTTTTTTGCTCCCTTCTATATTTTTTTCCCCTTTCTTTCCCTCCCTGTCCCTCTCTTTTTTTTTGTTTTTTATTTTTTACTTTTTTTTTTAATTTACAGTAGCTGAATTGCACCACACCAGAAACCACCTCCCCAAATGCTAGAGATTTTAATCCATTCCAACCTCAACTCCCATCGGCATTTACAAAACTCTGTACATTATAACTGGAAAAAATCATGACAAGGTTTAATTAATTACCAAGGATAATTCTCCTCATCATCAAAAAGACCCGGTTCATTCATCCTCTGAAAGGAGGTTCCAGCCCTTGCCTGTTCCCAGAGAGAGGAATCATCCACTGCCGGGAGCGCGTTAAGGTCAGCCCAGTCAAAGGAAACAGTCCCACTGTTCATCCCTCCGACTGCGGGCTCCTCTGAAACCGGCTTAGCCTTCACCTCCTCTGGCGGCGCCACCACCATGTTGTCAATGTCCATCATCATCTCCTCGTCCGCAGCCGGTGGTGCAACGTTGATGTCCAGGTATGGGAAGACGACGTCCGGCTGCTGTTGCTGCTGCTGCTGTGAAGCCGCAGCCGCCTGCGGAGGAGAAAGGTTGAGATCCACGATCGGGAAGTTGATCTGCTGCTGAGGTGGCGGCGGGAAAGTGGGTGCTGCTGACGTGGCGCCACCCCCAGGGAACAAACCATGCAGCAAGGGCACGTTGGGGTTTTCATTCTGACATAAATGAAATGGCATGGTGTTGTGGTCCCCGCCGAAGAGATCAGTTGGTGATGACGACGATGATGATGACCCCGTGGGAGGGGCGGTGGAGGTGGAGGTGGAGGCAGCTCCGCCTTCAAACATGTCCTTGAAACGGTGGCGGCGGTGGTGGATTGGCATCCGGTCACGTGAGGCGATTGAGCCTGGCCTCATCACCGTACAACCTTGGCTGCGGCGCCGTACGCGATCGCCGCCTCGTGAGAGGTGTCAAGGTACCTAGCCGAGTCGGGAACCGCAGTTAGGTTCCCGAATCTCGGCGACCCACTTGCCCCAGGTCCTTTGTCGAACTCCCTTATACGTGCAAGAGGCATTTTCGGGTCCTCCTTTCCCCCGCATATAGCCCTTCCTTGATCCTTTTAACTGTCCCGATTTTCTGCCCCGGTTGTTGTTGTTGTTTCCATTGTTACACCCTCCATTGTTTCTGCCTCCATGTCCACCTCCGTTTCCGGAGCCTCCGCCAGAAGAGGAGCTAGCCAGCATCGTGTTTGTTGATGCTACTAATGAGAAACTGAAAAAGGAAAATGTTGTTTTATCAAAAAAAAAAAAAGAAAAAAGGAAAAGTAAGATGCTGGAATTGGATTTTGAAACTGATGAGATGGGATGAAGAGTGAAGAGTGGGGGTTGAGGAAAGGGTATATGTATTTAGAGTGTCAGAGTGGTGGAAACTGAGAAGAGGGAAATAGTAATTTTCTGAGATATACGAAATGAATGCGAGAATAAAAAAGAAGGAAAAAAAGAGGGAGTTTTCATTGGGAATGAGAAAAAAGTAGGTACGTGTCTTATGCATTTTATGCCTTTTCTCTTTTAGTTTGTTTTCTACTAATTTCCTTTTTGCTTTTTCCTACTTCTTTTCAACACCAACACAAATCCCTTGCCTATTGCTTCCTTTTCTTTATTTGCATTTGAACTGTACAATTCAAGTTCTCTCTTCTTCTTTTTTTTTTAAAAAATCATTTTGGGTTCTGTTTAGCCATTTACATTTTTTTTTTGTTATATAACGCTACAATTTATTAGTTAAAAGGTCTCTAATAATATCTTCCTTGTTTCCTTGCCGGAATTTGTTTTTCTACTTAGAGATAAGCTTCACTCGATCCACTAGAGTGTTCAATATTTTATCCACAAATGTTCAATTCACGTGATGTGTCAAAAATATTAAGCCATCTTAATTTATATAATGTTTTAAATTTAAACTCGATCATCAACATATAGAAATGACTAAAATTCTTGAAGAGTTTTGCCTCTAACAATGAGCCTACTTGACTTGAATATATATGTGAATTGGTTGTGACAGTAGTTTTGAACATTAGGTGTGTAATATACTAAAACCAAAGTTCCATTTGATCTCTTCAAAAGTAATAAAACCCAAATTATTATTTTTTTGAATAATATGATACATACATTCTCAAATTGGATTTTCATAAATTGTAATTAACTTGATAAATGATACCTTTCTTTCTCCACCTGATCGGAAAAAGTAAATTCAAACGAGAAATTGAAATAATAAACAATATTGTGATGATAAAAACACAACTACTAAATATAATTCTTTACATTTGAAAATGAAAGTCCCGTAGTTGATATATTTTATTCTAACACACCAAGTCACTCTTAGTTTATGATGTAGAGAGTACTCCAACAGTAATTAAAATATCTGCATCTTTTTAAAAAAATCTAGAACGATGATGGCCTTAACCTTACTCTCGTTTCAATAACTTATTTACGTTTTATTTTATTATTACTCCTTTTTACGCAAAATAATTGTCTTAGTTATTATTCCTATTATATTATACATATGATAATTATTTTGAAACTGAAATAATGGACAATAATTATTATATTTAAGTTGAAGAAGCTCGGGGATAGAAATGCAAAACATGCTTGTTAGATTGAGAAAGTGGGTAGGGGAGTGTGTGTGAACGCGTGTAAGCGTAGGGTGAGTTTTACATTCACATTTGATAAATAATGAGGTCAGACGGTGGGGGCAGAAAGAAGTTGGATAAGCTTTCCCTGAGTTCATCGTACCAGTTTTGGCTACTCAAAACTGAGTCACTCAATACTGCTCAAAGTAACTGAAGACAAATACTTTTTTTTAAAAAAAAAAAAAAGAAGCTGTTAACTGATTGAGATGATAAAATTCATACGTAACTACTAAGGGGCAAAAGCAGCTGTCGCCTTGAGTAAGAGATAGATGTCTTCCAGTGGCAATGGGTCAGTTAATTTTTGAATGCATTAGCATTTAAGGGGGGTTTTACATTTTAGTTTAGTTGAGAGGGTGAGTCTGTTGGTTTCTAATAAATGTAAAACCAAATAGTAATGCCGTACAATATAAAATCTTCTAACGTTAATGTCCACCTGCATTGTGTTTAAACTGGAGGTGATGTTCAATATATTATCCTTCAATCTTTTTTTGGTAAATTTCTCTACTGAAACAATTAGACAATTAAAATGAGGCAAACAAAGCACTAAAGAAAGAATAACCTACATATCAAAACTTTTTTTTCCAATATATATATAACTCCATTAACTCATTTCATATCAAAACAAATTATTATTTGGTAACTATGCACATTCAATAAATTAATTTAACAATAATAGAGTTGGACATGTATTCGCATGGCATTGTGCTTTGTGGAGAAATCGCAGCCAAGTATTCATCCATCTCTCCACCTGTTGAACTTGAAAAAGGAAATTACTAACAGTGTCAATAATTTTTATTTGATCCTGGAGATTTTTGTTTATCTCTATTGTTGGAACACAGTGTCGAAAACAAAATGACGTTATCCAGCGAACTTTTTGATGTATCTTCAAGACTAAAATGAAAATAATATGAAAAAAAAAAAGAAGAAGAAGAATTGAAGGGGGATCAAAGCAAACCAGGGTGTGCTTTGCTTGTTCTTTTGCTTCTAGAAAATCGAGAGATTGCGTGAGCCTGACTTCAACTCCCCAACATCTAGTATTAATGCTCCAATTATAATCCAGTTACCCAACAAACATTGTGGGCGCAGGATTTCCACATTAATTCTTGATTTTGCAGTTTTTTTTCTTATTAACAATTTATTGTTGATATTAACACCATTGATATACATGAAGTTAATCCTTAATTTCACACCATATGCATAGTTCCTCGAAATATTCAGTACTCAACTCTGTTTAATTATGTACTCCAGGCACACCCCATAAATGAGTCGAATTATACAGTAATATACAAGTCTATATATATATATATATATATATATATATATATATATAACTTACTAATGGAAAATCTAGAGAGAGAAAAACTGAGACTATTTTCTATTTGTCCAATGGGTCAATTTTTAAGATTCTTCATATATTAATACCTATAAAAATGGAATTACTATTGTAATTAATCTTATAATTTACTTTGTTTATTTTTTTACCCACACTAAAAACTACCAAATCAGATAACAGTAAATCAAATTAAATTAGTTTTAAAACAGAACTAGAATTTGAATTTGAATCATTGACTATTTTTGTTGAAATAATATCATGAATGTGATAATTACAAATCAAAACAATGCATTGCAACATTATATTTAGATCACAAAAGTAATATAGCACGATCTGCATTTTTTGGTTCTTCTTCATGCTGTGAGTATTTTTTTTTTAATAATAATACAAAAAAAGGGCAGCGAATATACTAAACCCTATATTAAATACAAATTTAATTTTAAAGTAAAGTTAATCCTTCTTCACGCTGTGACTAATTTCCATAAAATGTTGGAAAAAATATCAATGATGTGGTTTTTAATTGCAACTCGTCCATCAACAAGATTGCCAGATCTTCTTTAATGGAGTCAGAATCAAATTTCCAGAAGGGTTTTCCCCACCAAGATTGTGGAGATCAATGATCAGAAACTGTAACAACATTGAGTGTTACAGTCTCACTTCAAGGCCTTCCATCTAAGGGTCAACAAGAAACATTTGAACCAGAACACCACATATTGGAGTACCTTCTAGTTTTGAAAATAAAGAGTCAAGTTGAAATAATGATTTTGGACACCGGATGAGTAATATACCCCAAAAGAAAAAAAAGAGAGTCTTCTTTTGTGCAGTAAAATCATGCATGGAGTTTTTGTTTTTTGGCATATAAAAGTTGGTTGTTTATGTGTAGCAATTTTAACTTTCCTTTTTGTTTTTTTGTTTAAGAGGATAATTAATAGTTATTATGTAGACCGAGGATAGAGAAGAGCTTGAATGCGATGAGCTCTTATTGAATTTATCCCGAAAGTGAAAGTTCCACTTAATTTATCTAAACTTTTACAGGTTTTGTATTATATTTTTCGATTGTAATTTAAAAATGCAATACTTAATTTCTTTTTTGATTAATTACTGAGTCAACTCCATATATATGGATTTGTTTGTGTCGAGATTATGACAATTGGAATATACAGTTCATTTTTCCCATCTCTCTCTCTCTCTCTCTCTCTCTCTCTCTCTCTCTCTCTCTCTCTCAAGAATCTTTAATCAGTTTACGCTCCAATTTCTTTATTAATTTTACCTAAATTTATTTACGATAAGTAGTCCACTTTGTATTTCGGGATAAATTTATATATTCCTCTCTCTCTCTCTCTCACTGAAACCAATCTAAACTTTCTCCCATGGCCGGCGATCAGCCACCGGCCATAGGCCTTGAACCTCCTAAACGACCCTCCTTTGCTTAGATTTTAGGATCTACTTCAAATCCAAAAACAATTCACTCAACAAAATCCCAAGAGCTAAGCACTCCTGTAATACTCTCAGAACCGACACTTTTCAAAGGAGAGCCAACTTTTCTTCTTACAAAAGAAGAAGATGAACGATTGGCTGCCCCATTCCGACTTGCTCTAGTTGGTAAATTTACCAAAGCCCGACCAAAATGGAATATCTACAAAGAGAATTCCAAACTATTGGCTTCAAAGGGAGCTTTTCCATTGATTCGATTGATTTCCCGCATATTCTCATTTGCTTTGACTTGGAAGAAGATTTTCACCGTTGTTGGCTGAAAGGTTTATAGACCTTTGATGCGCATCGGATGAGTCCTCAAATGGACTACCGACTTTAATCCATCTCATGAAAGTTCTATTGTTCCGGTTTGGATTTTCTTAGAAGGTCTTCCCATTCATCGTTTTAACAAGATGTTGGGTTGTCAAACCAACAAAAATAAAAGAACCTACTCCTAAGAAATTTAGTAGTATAGTAATGAGTAGGGTCGTCTCCTCAGGGAGTAAGGAAGTGAAAATATTTCTAATCAAAAGCAAAATAACTAAATGGGAGAGATTTTGGATTTGTAACTAATGAATAACAAAAATAATTTGCAAGCAATAAAAGATACTTTTGGAAAATCAATAATAAGAGCAACTCTAGTCAAAGGAATAATTTCCACCTTGATGTATCCAACTGATCATTGATGCAAAGATTAACTCAACAAATGATGAATATATTAGTTTTCGTTGTTGGAACCTCCTAACAACTCAGTCTTTTTATTTAACTACCAGTGACTAAGATTCCTTCATTAATCACTCTATAGCCAAAAAAACACTACCTGGAACCTCCTAGGATTCAGTTTTTGACAAGCAAAGACCCAATCTAATTTCTAACAAAGAAACCTTGTTTCATTAAAAATTGATTATTTATTCTCACAACACAAGTAAACTACTTACCAAGTAATTATTTGCATTGTCTCTCTAAGGAACAAACAAACCTTGTTGTTCAATAAATTAGATTATCTAGGAGAATTGAATGCTACCAGCTATTCAAATAATGCCAAATAATCATCAATACACATCAAAGAGAATAAATAAATACTCAAAATTCGTTGGTGAAAAGCAAACAGTTAGATCTCACAATTGAATAACATCAAGACTTCAATAAAATCCTTTAACTAGAAAAAAAAAAGGTTTAGTTGCTAATCATGGTGAAAATCAAAAACACAAGAATTGATGTTTGACATTACAGAGCTAAAACTGACGAAAACGGAGAGAAATCCTTGTCCTGAGCTCCAGCTGTTGCTCCCTGTGTTGTGCCTCTTCTCCTCCCTCAAAATAATAAGAAAAAGACTCTTTATATGCATATTTTAGGGCATCCCCACGTTCAGCCCGTCCAAAAATTGCAGCAACCAAATGAAATTTTCAGAATTTGCAAATTAGTCCCTGAAGTTTGCCAAAATTACAAATTGATCCTAAAACTTTGGAAATTTTGCACTTTAGTCCCTATTTCAGAGTGCCCACGCGGGAATACAACATTGTTTCTGGAATTTCTTGCTTCCTCATTGATTTTGGCATGGATTTTGTGTGCCCACGCAGGAATCAACCCCTTTTTCTCCAACTTGAAACTTGATTCAATAAAACTTCAAAATCTCTTCAAAATCAACACTTTTCTTCTTTTTGTTCCAAATCCTTCCTATGATCAAATTAAGAACCAAAGCACTAATATTAGCATAGATAATATTCAAAACAACACATAAACCACCATAAATATCATGCTAATATTAACATTATCACAAGAATTACTTGTGGAAACTAGCTAGCATCATCGGGACACCACTTCAAATAGACGTCCCAATCCTCAATATGTCACGACCATCAGTGGCTCGCATTTGTGTAGAGATAGATCTTCTCAAGGAACATCCCATTCGAATTCGGCTTGGAGTTGAAGGGAATTCCTATTTCCAATCAATTTTTTATGAAAACATGCCTCAATATTGTGTAGACTGTAGGAAGATTGGACATGACCGTCTTTCTTGTCGACACAACACAACCACAGTGGCCTCCCAAAAAATGGACTCTCGCCATCCCACAAAGCTTCTTTCAGCGCAACCAGATCTAGTTAAACAGCCAGTTTCAACCCCAATAGTTGCATCAACGCCAAATCAAGAAAAAGAATTATTAGCACAGCCTTCCTCTATGCAAAAAGCATCGCAGCAATCACTACTGACTCCCACAGCCAAGTTTGTGATGGATTTACTGCTGAAACCAACCGCTATTGATGAAGAGCCATCTACTACTGTAGACCAAATGGTGTTGCAATCTGGGCATGTCATCACTGCCGCTGTTAAAGTGGCTACATCTATTGATGAGTTGCTGCAATCAGAAGCAGTAATCGCGCCTATTGCTACAACCTTGGACGAACCCTTATCTTGTGTGCTGGAAACAAATCTGCAGCCTGCAGAAACCCTTGATGGGTCAACCTCAGGATTAACGATGGCGGAGAAGATTGCCATCCCAGTTGATATACCAGACAACCCTCCGTTTCTTGAAGATGCGCCGCCTGGTGAAGGTGCTGTTGGAATAGAACTCAAAGACACGCTCTGCAATCAACCAGATTCTCCAATTGCTGTTGAGAATCACCATCTTCCTTCAGCATTAATGGCCGCTGCTAGCAAAAGTGGAACAACAACATCGCCGGACGTGGAAATCCGGAGTGGAACGCCGGTGAGTAACTCCCTGATTGTACACCCACCTTCTGCGCAACAAAATCCCGTGAACGATGCAGTTGACCGGGCGCCCTTGGTTTCAAAAGAGGATAAGATGCAAGCGGACTCCGCAGCTACTGCGCCATCAGCGGATAAAAGTTTGACCCCTTCAAATCAAAAAATTTTGACACAGAATATGATCACCCCAAATCAGCACGTTCCAATTTCGAATGAGAAAAAAACGAAGTCAAACTCTCCCTCAATGCAAATTTCTCGCTCAAGTTCTGAAAGTATCTTTTTCGAAAATAACAAGTCCAGCTCCAGTAAAAACTCCATTCAAAGGTTAAATCCTGAAGCTCCAGAATTTACGGTCTCTCCTCAGCCCATTCTAGAGGTTTTACTACCACTTACGGCCCCAAAATTGTACTTATCAAAAGATGATACAGAAATATGGAAGAATACTGAGACTTTTAACCCAAACTATTTGATTGAAGACATACAATCTGAAGGCGGACTAAATCATGCCTCAAATGATTCTGATAATGATTTCGATATGGAATATGCAATGGAACAAGAGTCTTTTTACAGTGAGGTTTCTGCTCCAACATACCACAATCGATCGAAGAAAGCTAAGGCTAAAAAGAAAGTCCAAGTTCACCGGTCTGCTAGATTGAACAAGGATTAACTTTAGTTTAAAATCAAATTTGTATTTGATACAGGGTTTAGTATATTTGCTGCCCTTTTTTTTGTATTATTATTAATAAAAAAAATAAAACTTGATTAAAAAAAAAAAGTAGTCCACTTTGTTTTCATACCATAGGATGTCTACCTTTAATATAACAGTGACTATGTAATCAATTTCATGAATTGTAGTCACATTGAAAGGTGGAGTGCTTTTTACTTGCATTTACTTTTGTTTATTTTCTTTTTACTTGTAATTGAATGACTCCCAAGAAAACAAAACAAAAAAAAGACAATAATTGGGGGTAATTTGTTAGATTTACATACAAACTAATTAATTTGTCAATATTTTAATACATGGTAGTGACAAAAACAAAAGAAAGCCTCCCTCCATTTAAGAAAAATAGTAATTTATTGCCTTGTTTTATGATTACAAAGTGGACTACTTTTTGTGATAAAGAGTAGAATGTCTGATTGCTCATAAATAAATCTACAAATATTAAAATATTGCTAAGAGTTGTAGCTACATGCATCATTGAACATAGTCGTCACCAAGAAGTTATAATAACTCTATTTTAAGTTTCAACTCAAGTTTTATGTAATTTTCAGCAACAAGCAAATGTGGAATGCTTTATATTTGACGTTCTGTTAAACCCGATTTTTGGCAGGTCCATTAGTATTGGTTTTTTTAGCTAAATGAAGTCTTTTACAAAATACAAATTCGTGATCAAGATTGTAATGTGAGTGACAAAACCACAAAAGTAGATTATAAAAAGTTATATATTATGATTAATCCAATTTCGAAATGTATTTCATTTTCTTATTTCACATTTGGTGGTTTAATAAAGTCGTGCAATTCCTATGAATACTACTTAATTACTGGTGTACTATACTGCATTTTTTTAATTAACAGTGCTCTATTCCTAGTTAACAATTCCTAAAATCTACATCATATGTACTTTTATAGACATTTGTTTTATAACGTAACATTTATTTAAATCATAATTACGGCTGATGGTATATGTGAAACAACCCAAGTTCGAATCCCATCGAGGACATCGTAGAATGGAATTAAGATGGTATAGTGGGAAAGGATAAAGTAGAAATTTGGTCCCCGTGCAAAACACGTGCATCATCTAGTACTAACTACTAACAAATAATAATATAATTATCCTTATTTTTAATCATGCAATTGATCAAAAAGTGTCAACTGAATAACTAAGATAATCATAATTGTAGGGTGGATACTTTTAGAAATATAAATATAGAATAGGCAATTATTATTGAAAATCGAGAAATAATAAATATCCGTTAGGAATGTATTAATTAATTTTGACTGCTTATTAATGAATAATTAATACACAATCCTTTTCATTACGTCTATAAATGTAACCGTGTACAAATTATTTTAGAAAAGGGTAATTCAAGATGGAGCGATCGTTGGGCCAATGTTATCATGGTTGGGGTCATGGATCGGTTGTTTTGATGCTGGTGGTGGTGATCCTCATTTTGTCGTTGCCACTGGCTTCATCACTGTACAACCTCCGTGCAGCAGCATCATACGCGATCGCTACCTTGTGAGATGTGTCAAATGTACCTAACCATAGTCAGGAACTGTGGTTGGGTTCCCTAATTTCGGCAACCCCTTTGCCCCATGTTCTTTGCCGAACTCCCTTATACGTGCAAGAGGCGTTTTTGGGTCCTCCTTTCCCCCGCATGCAGCCCTTTGTTATTGTAATTGTTGTTTCCGTTGTTACACCCACAATTGTTCCTGCCACCATTTCCACCTCCATTTCCGGAGCCTCCGCCAGAGGAGAAGCAACTCAGCATGGTGTTTGTTTGATGCTACTAATGATGAGAAACGGAAAAAGGGAAATGTTTGGATAAAAAAAAAAAGAAAAAGGGATGTTGGAAAATGGTTTTGAAACGGATGAGATGGGATAAAGAGTGAGGGGTTTGAGGACAGGGGTAGTATTTATAGAGCAATGGTGGTGGACGAAAGTAGAAGTAGTGATTCACTAACAAAACACTAAATGAATGCAAGGCGAAAAAAAGAAAAGGAAAAAGGGGAGAGTTTTGTATGGGAAAGATAAAAATGTACTTACGTGTCTTCTGCCTTGTACATTGAGTGCTACTCTGCAACAGTAACCAGACCCTGCCTGTACTTGTAAATAGAAGTTGGCCTTAATAGCCCATTATGACACCACGAAAGAGAAAGAACAAAAATACCGTACGCGCGTGTTGCACGCACGTGTGTTGCACGCGTGCTGCCCCCAATTTTCTCTCTCTTACCGTCTCTCCCTCACTCTCTTCTCGGCCCCATTTCTCTTTTTCTTTTATTTTTTTTCAGTTTTCTCCTTTTTTTTTCAAATGTTCATATCATTCAATATATAAATAATTAAAAAAAAGTACCATATATCAAATTAATATACGCAACGAGATCTTTCTATTAAGATTCATTGTTAATATTTTTGAAGTTAAAAATTTTATTAGAATTCATGTATAAAAACACTGTATATGTTGTGTAAACTGTTATGTATATGAAAAGGTAAATTGTCATTTCATTTCTTTTTGTTTAAATCCTTTACAATTAAAAAATTCAGCATCCAAATTTAATTTTTATTTTTTATTTTAATTTATGTCAAATTTTAAATAATTAAATTAAGTTAATGACTCATAAATTTAATAAAATTATTTTAAATTAAATTTAAATTTATCATTACAATCAAAACTAAAATCATATGAACGTAAACGTAAACATATTCACATTCTTCCATATGCATAATAGTATACCTTCGTAAACCTATTCGTATGTTTTCATAAACATTTTCGAATACATTCATATACATTCTTGCCTACTTTTATATGTTCGGATATCTCCTTATACATTTTCATGTGCCTTTATATACATATCTACATATGTTTATATGCAATATCGTATGTCTTTATACACATTCTTGTATACCTTCGTATACATTTTTACATGCCTTCATATATAAAGTAATGTGTCTTCATGAAGATATTTTAAATCTTAAACCCAAAATACTAGACCATAACCTAATTGAAATTCTTAAACCTAAACCCTAAACCCTAAACACTAGGCCCTAACCTAATTGAAATGCTTAAACCCTAAATCCTAAACACTGGACTCTAACCTAATTGAAATGATTAAACCCTAAACCCTAAACACATTATGTTTTTTATTCGGTTTAAATTTTTGTAATTCAATTAGGCTAGGAACGAGACCCTAGCCCGATTGAATTACAAAAATTTATAAGTTGATGGAGGGTCCGGATTAATAATAGATTAGGATTTATTTCGTATTGTTTAGGGATAATTTAGTAACTTTAAATTATGCAATTAGGGTTTTTGTATCGTTTTGCTATTTAAAGGTTTCGGCCGTTTCATTATAAAACATTTGTTGATTTTATAAAAATTGAGAGTTCGTCTCAGAAAATCCCAAGGTGTTGAACTTTGGTCCCTAATTCCGGGTATTCTCAGAATTAACGAGATTTAGGAATGTCGTATTTCCGGGTATTCGTAGAATCAACGGATTTATGACGAGTTACTTGTTAGGGTTCGAGAGATAGCCGTCCGCCGGCTGCATTAGTTGGTATTCAGAGCCTAACAATCCTACTGCAGTGCCTTCCTTTGTGGATCTATCGAAAACATTGATTAGTTACCAATTTGGTTTTGTTTCTCTGATTGATCTAGTTGATTGGTGGCTACTTAGGGATATATCAGTGTGTACGACAGCTTTGGATTTAATTTGTTCATTTGTTACTTTGGTTCAGTTAACGAAATAGTTGAGGGCACTTGTGTTAATTTGGTCAGTGTGTTCATTGATCTATATCAATTGTTGGGGCTCTTCATTCATAATTGATTTTTGACTTTTCTTATATGCGTATCCAAGTTTTAAGGAAGAAGTTCTTGAAAATTTGTGGATTAAAAGGTAAACCTGTTGCATATCTTTGCTCTGGGAATTTTGGGTAGGTTGTTCAGAATTGATTGTTGGTTTTATACTTTAATTAATTGATCGACGATATTACACGGTTTGTGGATGATTGGCATCAATTGTCAGCTGCATTGCTAATTGGTTTCATTAATGGAGTGGACGCTATCCAGTAATTTCGTTTGGGGCAGATTTGGAGTTGATTTTGTAGCTGCAGAAATTGTTCGAGAATTTGGTTTTCCTTTTTCTTGATTTAATCTACTAATGCCTCCAAGACGCAAGAAACATAGACTGATGGCTTGTTGGAGAGAATTGATCAATTGCCCACCAATATTACACAACCACATAGCGGGACAAGAAAGCAATTCAACAAGCCGAGGTCGAATTCGCACCACTGTCGCAGAGATTATGCCCTTGAGAACCCGCAACGACATTATCGGAACGTTAAGACCGAAGTCGATACTCGACCTGAGAAAACAAACATGCCTACGAAGGTCCCGACATTTCATGGGAATGGAATACCAAAAGAATTTATTAAATGGTTGATGCAGGTGGAAAAATTTTTAGATTTTAATCGCATTCCCGATGAAAACCGAGTCAAGCTGGTCGCAAATAGGTTCCGTGATCGCACTTCAGCTTGGTGGACACAGCTCAAGTTGGACCGCAATCGTCTCGGCAAGAAGAAAATCCGCTCTTGGTTGGAAATGAAGAAGGAGCTTCGGGATGAATTCTTGCCACCACATTTTCAGCATATTTTCTATTCCCGACTTCAAAAGCTCCGACAGGGGAAGTTGTGGCACCCGTGCACAGCTGCCGCAGAATTGCTCCTTGGAGTATGGTTTCAAAGAGTTGTATCATCATAGGAACCATAGCGCCGCATCATCTCATTATTATTCTGAAGCTACCGTTGTCAACACCACTACCATGTATTCTCACACAATTGAAGTTTCACGAAGCTGCATTGGGGTGCAACACCGTCGTAGGCTACGGGTTGAAACAACTGAACCACTCATGAAAGTGGGTTGCCGTTCCGAAAGTCGATGGATTACTAATCTTGCGACACGCAAGGTTTGTCCAGTTGGTGATTTTGATTACCAGACATGGCAATGCGATCCAGCACCCTTGTTGATGTCATTGAGGACTTCAGCTTCGCCGTTGATGATACTTCCTCCAATAACGACGACCCAATTTGTTTTTTGCATACGGTTTACGAAGATAGATGGTCGTGGGAGGACATAATATTCTCTCATGCTTCGGATAATAATACCTGGGAGGATAACCATGTTGATTGGAGCACTCCACCCATATTTCATATCTACCCGGATGTATGTGAAACTTCAGAAATAGATGAGTTCAACCATTGTGTTGGTGACATACTGATAAAAGATATGAAACTTGCGCATAAAAACGATGTTGAGCAGTTCTTTCTGAATATGCAGAATGTCACCCAGTCAAACTCAGTTTCCAGCACCTCGGTATTGCACAAGATAATGCTACAGAGAGACATGTTGTCAGCTTGCATAATATGCAAAAGGATGCTTCACGAAGGGAGGAAGTCCCCTTTAATTTTGAAGACACCACATTTAGTGATGTTCCTTTTCCTCATGTTTTGGTATTCCCTCACAAAACTTTTTTGGCACGTGATTTTCCAAGGTTGTGGCATCGACCTTTTCTCAACCGTAAGGGCTCAACCGTAAGGGTTCCTTGCTCCTCAGAGTTGTTCTTCTAAGCAACATTTTTTCTTCTTGGAAGGGGCCACATCTGATGCCACGGCAAGAATTAGCTATATTTCCTTTTAACCGAGGCAAACTTCTACTAGCCACATTTCTTTTTGATCAAGGAAAACTTCTACTTAAACTCGAGGACGAGTTTTTTCTCACCTGGAGAGAATGATGGAGGGTCCGGATTAATAATAGATTAGGATTTATTTCGTATTATTGAGAGATAATTTAGTAATTTTAAATTTAGTAATTTATAAAAGTTGAGATTTCATCTCAGAAAATCCCAAGTTGTTGAACTTGATAACATCTTTTTTTTTTTTTTTGGGTAAAAGAACCCAATCCTTTTAATTTCCTTATAGCCACCGATTTCACGTGCCATATAGAGAGCATTAGAGTAGTAACATCTCCGTTATGGATTACTCAATCAAAAAGTGCTTCTTACTCAGCTTTTGGTCATTACTTGTTACTAATTAACAGTGCTCTAACTTCTTTGATTTAACATCTTGTAATTGAAGAACATTTTTGGAGTTTTGGACCCTATAATATTAAAATTAATCATGAATCTGAATCCTACGCGTCGCATTGAGAAAATACAGTACTCCTCAATAACTAACGAGCTACCAAAGGTGAACCGAAGCCGTGAAACACCTGCACGGCTCATTGTATGAGCCTAGGAACCCTCCGTAAGATGAAAACCTTTGTGCACATATTTTGCCATTTTATCTTGGTTTTTAAATAAAAACTTTATGCTAAAAGCTTTGCGTGACAGACACGGGACTTTTGTTTGACTTGTATTGTTTTGATGAATTAATCCCAGGAACAAATATGCAACATTACGTACTACATCGTATATGGAATTTGGTCTCGTGTTAACGATGAGTCTGTTTAGGTGTATATATAGAACCATTGGACATGGGGAAAATCAAGGAGAACGTTTGTGAGTAGGTTATTCTGCTACATATATAACTAAACTTGCAAAAATAATCATGATCAATAACTGATAAATAATTCCTACTTTCTACTCATTAGTGTCATTTTGTTTGCAGGATGCGCGACCAAACAAACCATGCACATCATTAACTTATTGTACTTATAGGGAGTTGAGTATTATTATTTGGACACGGAATTCGGGATATAAACTCCATACTTCAACTGGTATCGAAATAACGATAGAGTTTCTGTAGAAGGTGATTCTGTTTGGCTCATTAATCAACACTGGAAATTCATATTCCAAGAATCGTCCTTTGCTGAGTTTTGAATGCCAGTCGAGGTTAAAGTAAGTTTATAGACTATCAATTCATCCGTTCAAATGAACTAAAAATAGAAAGAAATAAACCCCCCAAAACAAGATAAATAATAATGTTTGGGGCCTTGATTTTAGTATTTTAATTTGGACACTCATGTGTGTATATAAACGAGAAATTTGCTTTCTGCTTGAAAGGATTGTAGGTTCTTGAAATTACCAGATGTACAAGTACCTTGTTAAAAGTTTTACGTTACAATTCTCATAAACTTCAGTTACGTGGCATCTACTTTTACTTTTAATCATTTCAAATTTGGTTCTTTTTCATTAAACAACAAAAACAAGTATGCAAATTTGTTGGAAAACTAACATGTACCTTGTGATCTCACCCAATAAATAAATAAATCTTCTATTCTAAGAGTAATCAATAATTTCTTTCCCTACAACAGGAGTTGTCTTTGTAAGTTAATTGTTTTTATGTTTTTTAAAAAGAAGATACTCTGCCGGTATGCACTTATCTTTGATCCATTTTATCTTCTTTTAATAGAAACATATAAGTGAAAACGGTACAGAAGTTCACAAAAATTTTATTACATTTTTTTAAAACAAGTACCTGACTTCAGATATCCTCTCTATATCCTCACAAAAATTTTATTACATTTTTTTCATAACAAGTACCTGACTTCAGATGTCCTCTCTATAAATACAACATTGCATTAATTGTAATTGTTTTGTTTTGTTTCTTTCGTCTTCTTTTTTTATAATCTTGAAACTTTCTACTGTTGATGACACCTCTCCGTAATAAAACTGGTAGCATGGTGGGCCTTAGTTAGTTTTGACTTTTGCCGCTTGCACTTCAATTTAATTTACATGAACACGACAAAAAAAAATTTTAAAAAAAACAATAATTTATGGTTGAGTAGAATTTAATTATTAGAATACACATAAAATCATATGTTTGTAAGTTCGAATGACAAGGATTAATTAAGAGCCTACGAAAATGTATTGCGTTTTCACTTTTCTGGTTGGAAAAGCTAATTAGGGTTTGGGCTTCTTAATTTCGTGCGAAAGAAGCTTAGTTTCGGGTTAACCGTCATAAGCTTAACATTATTTAGAATCCCAACTTGCTTAAAGTGATTGCTTAAACTTAATCCCTCATCCCATTTAAGTGGTCAAAATGATGACGAACCCATAGAAAGAGTGAATTTACAGTGCTTCCGTAACTCGCTAAATCTCTTCATCATAGATGCATGGTCTAAGTTTAATCATGAATGCTCATCAAATGCCGTCTACACGTGGAAATCGATGCCTGAAATAAACCTCCGTCGGCCAGCAAAACTGAAACCTCAAATTCAAGCAAGAATGGTAGCCGGAATTTGACTAACAAAACATCACAAACCAAGTAAACAATAGAAGATCAATTGAGGAATACTGTTTTATTGGGGACATAAGACCCGTCCCTTGTGGAGTTGATCAACATTCAACAAAATTCAGAAATCGAATCACACAGAGTAATGATCAGAATTCAGAGTAGAACTAATCTTGGAAATCTGCCAAACAACACCAAGAACTTCAAGAAAAAAAATAAAATTGTTCGGACAGATCTCACCCACAGAGATAAATGGTACCACATAAAATATGTTTACATTCATACAAAAGAAAAGAAATGGCTTTTTTTTTTTTACATCGGAGACGACACACCTGAATATATAGACATTATATGGCTTCTGTCCCCTCTGTCTCCAAATCCTATACAGATTCGATAAGTAAGAAAGACAACACTATAGAGAGCATTAACTAATAGTACTTTCTACCGAAACAGAAAGTAATGTACTGTAGGACATCTGATGAGAGCCGCCATTTCAATAGCAGAGAGAGCTCCCATCTTTATTTTTGCAGAAAAAAAAAAACCTAACTCCTTACGGATATGGTTTGATTTGCTGCCAGCCTTCTTGATCCTCTTTTTTTTCTTCCTTTTTTTTTTTTTTGGTTGTTTTCCTTCATCCCGTCAGAAACCATTTCATCACCAACTGCTATTCTCAATTCCAAAACTCCAAATCCCTTCCGTTTTTTCCTCCTCTCACCCTCTCTTTTTTTTTTTTTTGATTTTTTCATCACATTTGAAACCAAGTCACAAACGGCCCTTTGTAAAATCCAAATTCCAAACCCTTTTTTTTCGTTTCCCCCTTTCCTTCTCTCTTTTTTTCCCCCTTCTTTCCCTCCCTGTCCCTCTCTTTTTTTTTCTTTTTTTTTTTAATTTTTTAATTTACATGAGCTGAATTCCACCATACCAGAAACCACCTCCCCAGATACTAGACATTTTAATCCATTCCAACCTCAATCCCCATCCCCATTTTACGGCATTTAAAAAATTCTGTACATTATAACTGGAAATAATCATGAAAATATTTAATTAATTACCAAGGATAATTCTCCTCATCATCAAAAACACCCGGGTCATTCATCCTCTGGAAGGAGGTTCCAGCCATTGCCTGTCCCCAGAGAGAGGAATCATCCACTGCCGGGAGCGCGTTAAGGTCAGCCCAGTCAAAGGAAACAGTCCCACTGTTCATCCCTCCGACTGCGGGCTCCTCTGAAACCTTCTCAGCCTTAACCTCCTCCGGCGGCGCCACCACCACGTTGTCAATGTCCATCATCATCTCCTCCTCCGCACCCGGTGGTGCAACGTTGATGTCCAGGTACGGGAAGACGACGCCCGGCTGCTGCTGCTGCTGTGGAGCCGCAGCCGCCTGCGGAGGAGCAAGGTAGAGATCCACGATCGGGAAAGTTGATCTGCTGCTGAGGTGGCGGCGGGAAAGTGGGTGCTGCTGACGTGGCGCCACCACCAGGGAACAAACCATGCAGCAAGAGCACGTTGGGGTTTTCATTCTGATATAAATGAAATGGCATGGTGTTGTGGTCCCCACCGAAGGGATCAGTTGGTGATGACGACGACGATGATGACCCCGTGGGAGAGGCGGTGGAGGTGGAGATGGAGGCGGCACCGCCTTCAAACATGTCCTTGAAACGGTGGCGGCGGTGGTGGATTAGCATCCGGGTCACGTGAGGCAGATTGAGCCTGGCCTCATCACCTACAACCTCCGGGCCTCGTGAGAGGTGTCAAAGGTACCTAGCTAGAGTCGGGAACCGCAGTTAGGCTCCCGAATCTCGGCGACCCACTTGCCCCAGGTCTTTTGTAGGACTCCCTTATACGTGCAAGAGGCGTTTTTGGCTCCTCCTTTCCCCCGCATATAGCCTTTTCTTGATCCTTTTAACTGTCCCGATTTTTTGCCCCGGTTGTTATTGTTGTTGTTGTTTCCATTGTTACACCCTCCATTGTTTCTGCCTCCATGTCCACCTCCGTTTCCGGAGCTTCCGCCAGAAGAGGAGCAAGCCAGCATTGTGTTTGTTGATGCTACTAAATGAGAAACTGAAAAACGAAAATGTTGTTTTATCAAAAAAAAAAAAAAAGAGAAAAGGAAAAGTAAGATATTGGAATTGAATTTTGAAACTGATGAGATGAGATGAAGAGTGAAGAGTGGGGGTTGAGGAAAGGGTACATGTATTTAGAGTGTCAGAGTGGTGGAAACTGAGTACGGGAAATAGTGATTTTCTGAGATATACGAAATGAATGCGAGAATAAAAAAGAAGGAAAAAAAGAGGGAGTTTTGCTTGGAAATGAGAAAAAAGTAGGTACGTGTTTTACGCATTTTATGTCCTTTCCCATTCAGTTTGTTTTCTACTGATTTCCTTTTTGCTTTTTCCTACTTTTCAACGCCTAACACAAATCCCCTGCCTATTGCTTCCTATTCTTGATTTGCATTTAAACGATACAACTCAAGTTCTCTCTTTTTGGGTTTTGTTTAGCCATTTACATTTTTTTTTTTGTTATATAAAGCTATAATTAATTGATTAAAAGGTCTCTAGTAATATCCTTACCGGAAATTATTTTTCTACTTAGAGATAAACTTCATCGATCCACTAGAGTGTTCGATTTTTTATCAATAAATGTTCGATCCACGTGATCAAAAATATTAAGCCATCTTAATGTACAAAATGTCTTAAATTTGGAGTCCATCGTATACTTGCAAAAATGATTAAAATTCTTATTATAAGAGTTTTGCTTCTCAAAATGAATCTGCTTGACCTGAATATGTATGTGAATGGGTTGACACAGTAGTTCTGAACATTAGGTGTGTAATATACTTGGAAAAAAATTTTGATTTCATCTCTTCAAAATAAAATCCATTTTTTCTATGAATAGTATTGTACGTACATCATCAAATTGGATTTTCATAAATTGTAATTAAATTGATAAATGATACTTTTCTTTCTCCATCTAACCGCAAAAACTGAATTCAAAGGGAAAAATGAGATAGTAAACAATATTGTAATGATAAAAATATTATTGAACTATATTCTTTACATTTCAAAATAATAGTCTTGTAGTTGATATATTTTATTCCAACACACCAAAGTTACTCTTAGTTTATGATGGGGAGAGTACTCCAAAAGTAATTAAACCTCTGCACTTTTTTTTTAAAAAAAAAAATCTAGAAAGATGATGGTCTCAATCTTACTCTCATTTCAATAGCTCCATTCACGTTCGTTTCCTCTTATTGTTACTCCTTTTTACACAAAATAATTCTCTTAATTGTTATCCCTATTATACTATACCCATGATAATTAATGAGCGACAATAATTATACATATTTAAGTTGAAGAAGCTATGGGGATAGAAATGCAAAACGTGCTTGTTAGGCTGAGAAAGTGGGTGGGGGAGTGTGTGTGAATGCGTGTAAGTGTAGGGTGTGTTTTACATTAAACATTTGACAAACAATGAGGTCAGATGGTGGGGGCTGAAACAAGTTGGATAAGCTTTCCCCTGAGTTCATCGTACCAGTTTTGGCTACTCAAAACTGAGTCGCACAATACTGCTCAAAGTAACTGAAGACAAATACTTTATTTTTTCAAAGGCTGTAAACTGGATTGAAATGATACCACCCGTACGTAACTGCTAGGGGGCAAAGGCAGCTGTCGGCTCTAGTTAGAGATAGATGTCTTCCAGTGGCAATGGGTCAGTTAATTTTTGCATGCAATAGCATTTAAGAGAGTGAGTCTTTTGGTTTCTAATAAATGTAAAACTAAATAGTTACGCCGTACAAAGTTAATTCCGAGTAAATAACTAGAAAAACAAAATGGCATGTATGATACTCCCTTCATTTCAAAGTGTAAGTCGTTTTAGGTTTAGAGAGATTTTTCAAAATGTAGGTCGTTTTACAAATTCTAGGCAAATTAATGACTATTTTTCCAACTTTACCCTCAATAAATGATACTAATTTATTTTTATTTAGTCTTATTTATAGTTCCAACGTAATTAATGATGGATAAAAAAGATATTTAACACAAATTAATTGTTGGATGATTGTCTTCTTAGTTTACGTGTTAAGTCTAAAAAGACTTACGTTTTGAAATGGAGGGAGTACAGTTTTATCTATTTCAAAATAATTAATCATAGTATTTTTGTTCGTTGTCCAATTTTAATCTAACAAATATCATACGTTTTTTTTTTTTTTACATTAATCAGTCATGAGGACTGATGTGACCTATAATGAATGTACTTAAGCTACAATGTACTTTATTTTTTTAATCGACAACACTCCATTAACTCATTTCATATATCATCTCAATCCACTTTCTTTATATTCACTAGTACAATCCAAAAACAATTGGGTTTTGGGTAACTATGCACGTTCAATGAATTAATTTAACAAAGAGAGAGTTGGACATGTATTTGCATGGCACTGTGCTTTGTAGAGAAATCGCAGCCAAGTATTCATCTTTCTCTCCACCTGTTGAGAAAGGAGATTACCAGCAATGTCAATAATTCTTTTATCTGATCCAGAAGATTTTTGTTTATCCCGATTGTTGGAACACAGTGTCAAAAACAAAATGACATTATCATGCGAACTTTTTGATGAATCTTCAAAACTAAAATGAAAGTAATATTAAAAAAAAAAAAAAAACAGGAGGATCAAGGTTTGCTTTGTTCTTTTGCTTCTAGAAAATCGAGAGAATGCGTGAGCCTGACTTCAACTTCCTGACATCCAGTATCAATGCTCCAATTAAATTCCAGTTGCCCAACAAACATTGTGGGCGCAGGATTTCCACATTAATTCTTGATTTTGCAAGTTTTTTTTATTTATTTTTTCTTTTTAACAGTTTAACGTTAACCCATTGATATACATAAAGTCAATCCTTAATTTTACACTGTATGCAGTTCCTATCATAATGCACGATTACTTAATAGGGGGATTCACTGCAAATACTAGCTTGTCTCATTATTGCCGGGAGAATGGCTATTCCCCCACCCTTAATTCCTCCGGTTGGACCCTTCAGGTCAGAGAAATCGAAGGATCTTGGGCTAGGGTGATTAAACCGTATCTAATGACTTCCGGGCTTTCTTCTTTTCTGTTAGCACGCATCCTAAATATTTCTTCATTAGAAAAGAAGACTTTCCTGTCCCGCTTCAAGTATGTCTGGTTTGCAGCTTATCAAGCTCGAAATCCTTTCATAGACCTACTGGTGACCGGCTTCGTGAGACCTTTTCGATCTACACACGGTAAGCTCTATTGGGCAGAGGATCATCTTTTATTACTAGAATGCAAGAAAAAAGATACTTACATACCTAATTATAAAGGTGAACTAAGAGTGCTAACTCGGAAAATTTACTTAATAGTAACTGAAAAAAAAAATGAAGAACAAAATATGCTTAGAGTTTAATTTGTGGCAAAAAATAGCTTTCTCGCGTTTCAGAAACGCGAAAAAATCAAAATCCGCGTTTTGAAAACGCTAAAACACAAATTCGCGTTTTGAAAACGCGAATATATGTTTTTCGCGTTTCAGAAACGCGAAAAAGAAGGAGACATAATTAATTTAACATAATCCTAATTAATTAACTTGAATCAATAAGATTTCGCGTTTTGAAAACGCGAAATCAATTAAAAAAATATTTTATTTAATAAAAAAGAAAATAGGCATAAAAATATGATTAATTTGACTAGTTTAAAACGTTATAGGGAAATTGACTTCAAAAAATTATTAAATTTGAATAATGGTAACAGAAAATTTTAAAATTATAATTGTTAATCATTAAATTTTGAATAGAGTTATAAAGAGGAAAATTATATTGATAATTTTAATAATACGAAAATTAAATTTTGAATAAGAATATAATATTATAATTGATACTCATTAAATTAAATAGAGCTATACTAAATATAAATTATTAAAAGTATGATATAGTTATTATAATGTATTAATTTTTTAGAACATTATATAAAAAAATTTAATAATGATTATATTAAAAAATTTTATTAAAAATGTAATCATTATTTTAAAAAATAATTTTATATGAAAAATTTTCAATAATGATAATGACGTAAGTTTATGGAATTAATGAGATGTAATTTAATTTACAAATTATTTTTATTAATTATGATGGTTTTAATATAAGAAAAAAGCTTAAAATAGGAATAAATTTTATTAAATATTTATTATAATTTACCAACACTTAAGATGAAGCAACTATTAATTATGAAAAAAATATAAGAAAGTTTAAATATGTGTTTCGATTTGATCGGCGAAGATGTGTTTTATAAATATTAATTATTGTATTTACGATGCAGGTGAAATCAAACTATTAAGAATATTAATACAAGTCATAACAAAATACTACAAGTCATAACAAAAGGTAAAAAAAAATAAAACAAGTCATAACAAAAGGAAAAAAAACAAAAATGAACAAAAGGGAAAAAAAATACAAGTCTAATAATACTACATAAGAAGTCTAGTACCCTACTTCTTCTTGGGCTTTTTAGCCCGAAAAAGGCTATAAGTCAATCTATTGGGCTCCTTTGTCACTCTCTGGCCTTTACTCACAGCCAACGGTGGAGTCCCTAGGGTCTGACTCGATCCCTGCTCCTCATGGCGCTGATAACCCTGACCCTCAAACTGATCATCCTGGTCTGCATCCTCAGCCTCATCCTCAGCCTCATCCTCACCCTGACTCTCACGCTCACCCTCAGCTGGGTTATCAGCCTGATGCTGACCCGCAACACCCTCGAACATACTCGAAAGAAAGTTACTCGTGTAATGTATCGACTGGCCATCTAGCGAACTCTGCTGAAACCCAGAAAAGTCAATAAAAGAATCTCCAAACTAACGCTGAGAAGTCTGAGGGAAGGAAAACGAGTGAAGGAAAAATTGACTGCTTAGTCTTTGGGAGACATAATCGGACGGTAAACGCCCGTTGGGTCGGCGAAGAATGATGTGGAGACTGATGGGATGAATGATGTGGAGACTGATGGGCTGAATGCTGTCGAGAATGGAGTGGAGACTGATGTGGAGACTGATGGGATGAACCGCCAGTGAAGGGAATATGAGACTGCTCATGCTGGGAGGACTGATGTGGCTGAGATGATGTGATTGTCTCTTGCCCCCACGCCCACGCCGAGACTGCGCGAATGCCTCGGAGGTCCAGGTGGTGGATGTTGCTGGGTCGGGTCTACAGGTGCAAGTTCTTGACTCAAAATGTCATGAACCTCAACATGCCTATCGAGATCGTGACGTACAACATTTGTTGCATTGACGGACAACGCCCGCTCAGCAACCTGGGCAATCTCGCCTAAGCGATCATAACCAAAGGAGTCCGCGTCGAAAGTACGCTGGCCTATAATACTCAGACTACGAACGTCCTCCATCAATGTGGGCTGAAATTTTTATTAGAAAGAATCATAAATCGACAACAGTGTTAATAAAAAGAACCAAATGGACTGTAGGCGAAATACTCACCATGAGACGCAAGGTCTCTGCAGAACCATGAAAACCCCTCGCATTTTCAGAGTCCGTCGGATCCGTAACATACTTCACAAGAACTGATGGTACCACAAGAGATACTCGGATCTGCGGAAGGCTCGCCAACATAATCATCATCGGTCCCCACAACTTGGCCGTGGCGATCATTCCAAACACGGAGATATATCCCTAGTTGTTGTAACCATCTCCTATCGGATCCTCCAAACGGCTTCCTCTTGAGCAGGGTAGTAATTTCCGCGCGGTGAGAAGTAATGCGTCGCGGGTATCCGCTGGTGATAACCAAATTGGCGAAATACCCTCTGGGGTTGTGTGGCGCAACGACATCACCGCAGATGAGCCATGTCTGAGATCGCCATATGCCCTATCCCACAAGACAAACCCTGGCAATACGACCCAAAAGAGTCGTGTACGGCATCCATACAAACTGCAATGGTAATTAAGTAAGAGACGTGTAATTAAAAGTTCGACACCGTTAAAAAAAACGAATAAAACATAAGTTATACTAATTGAATAGAATACTAACATCAGACTCTGCGAGAACTGCAAGCTGATCCCGGTACGCGGCCAAATTGAACCGTGTGATACCTTGAACTTTTTTCTCGCGGGACCACCTGCACGGAGAAAGTAACATTAAATTGAGACATGACAGTACAAATCAAAATGTCAAAATTTACGAAGGTTTGATGTATAAGATTACCTCGTGCCCAATGGACAATCGATAGATCGAGATCCCCACCCAAGATCTTGGGTGAACCACAAAATCCGCTCCTGTGCCCGAGCTAATTCGAATGAAGAAATCATTAGCTAAAATCACCAATAATAATGGGAGAATATAAAATGAAACTAGAGAGAAATGAAAAGATAAAATACCGAAGAAGAATCACACAGTAGGTAATAGCCTTGCGAAGCGGCGAGAGATGACTTGGACATCTTTGCGGTACAAGTAACATAGTGCCGCACTACCCCAATCGTACTCGAGCAAATCTCGGGAGTATGAAGAAAATGCACAAGATCGAGAGGAAAACTGTTTCGTAGTGTTTGAGAACAAGAATCCGCCAACGAGCCATCCAACAAAACAACGGGCTCACCGTAGGTGTGCATCATCGAGGGACAGTCCGTCAAAGGATTATTCTCTATGTGAGTCTTTATTTCGGTGATGGAAACGCTCGTCAATCTAGACTCCTCTGTCTGGAACCTAAATCCAAACATCCTCTCCAAATAGACGCCCAACCACCATCGGGCATGGTGTGATGTCCTCAGAATCGGACGTCCATCAACCCGAAGACCCAAAAGAACCTCGACGTCCCGGAGTGTGATAGTAGCCTCCCAAAAGGTAAATGAAATGTATGGGTCTCTGGCGCCATCGCTCCACAAGAGCCGTAAGCGGGACATGGTCACATCTTATGGACCCAACTCTAGAGAACGGTCCAAAACCAAATTTCTCAATATATTCCTTTGTCAACCTCGGTGCATCTTTTATTAATTTCCACGCGGCGCTATCTACGCGCCTGGGCTCCGAAATCCCTATATCATACTGTGCACCATGGAATATATTGTGTGACCTATGGGCGTTTTGGAGAAACAACAAGCTACTGTCTCTGGGTCCCTGACGTAGCTTCTTTGAGGTAGATTGGGAGGAAGAAGATGATCCAATGTCCATGGCTAGTACAATTTACAAATAATTTTAGTAAGTACAGATTAATATTATTATTCTTTTTTATTATCCTATACATTAAAAATTCCAACCCTACATGTTAGTAAATACGGATTAATGTTATTATTCTTTTCTAATTATCCTATACATTAAAAATTTCAACCCTACATTTTAGTAAATACGGATTAATATTATTATTCTTTTCTAATTATCCTATACATTAAAAATTCCAACCCTACATTTTAGTAAATACGGATTAATATTATTATTCTTTTCTAATTATCCTATACATTAAAATTTCCAACACTAAATTTTATTATCCTAAACCCACTCCTCTAAACCCAACCCAATCCCCAACCCAAAACCCACTCCTCTAAACCCAACCCAATCCCCAACCCAAAATCCACCCTCTAAACCTAACCCAATCCTCAACCCAAAACCCACATTCTAAACCCAACCCAATCCCCAAACCCTAAAATCCCTAAGCCCAACACCCCAACAAACCCTAAACTCCCTAAGCCCTTCCTTCCCCCCGCCGCCCCCTCCCATTCCTTCCCCCGCCGCCCGCCCCCTCCCATTCCTTCCCCCGCCACCTGCCGCCCCCTCCCCTTCCTTCGCCCCGCCCGCCGCCCCCTCCCATTCCTTCCCCCGCCGCCCGCCGCCCCCTCCCCTTCCTTTGCCCCGCCCGCCGCCCCTCTCCTTCCTTCCCCACCGCCCGCCGCCCTCCCCTTCCTTCGCCCCCCGCCCGCCGCCCCTCCTTCCTTCCCCGCCGCCCCTCTCCCCTTCATTCCCCCGCCGCCCTCCTCTATACAACAAAAAATAACACAAAATATAACGGAGTATACAACAAAAAATGAACACAAAATTCCACAATTACAACACCTATAATACTAGATCTATTAACGGAGTATTAAATCGCTAAATAAAATTACAAATAAAACGAACACAAAATATATGAATCGAAAATTAACGCATGAATTAAAAAAAAACGATTCAATGAAAGCAAAAAATGCAACTTACCTCGATATATAGCCTAAAAACTGTAAAAAATTGATGACGAAACTCGATTCCGGCAACTCTCCCGGAAAAATCGCCGGTTTCAATGGAGTACGCCGGATATATGGTTCTGTTTGAGAAACATCAACCCGAAACGCGAAAAAATTATTTAACCACCTATTTTCGCGTTTCAGAAACACGAATCGGATTAATACCCAAAACTCGCGTTTCAGAAACGCGAAACGTCTCCTCTCCCTATTCTCGCGTTTCAGAAACGCGAAAACAATGTCCACCTTGTCTTTTTTCGCGTTTCTGAAACGCGATTATTGGGGTATAACTAACAAAAAAAAGTCTGATTTTTAGGCCGGATATATGGTTCTGTTTATTGCGGTGATGCATAAACAAATAATTAATTTTCTTACCCTTTAGTGTTTATTACATAATTAGTGCTTTATTCGACATGTATATATCATATCACTCTACCACTATAGTAATAATTAGTAATATTACTAAAATGAACATCGACGTTATTTTTTTCAAAAATATTACTAATATAAATTACAGAAACATCCAAACCAACACACTAACACAAATACAAACACAAACTGATTCATCCTCTGAGGTTTACTACATGAATGTTCAAAACAACACAAAAATACGAACACTAACAGAATCATCACAACAGACGATGAGGAAAATCATCACTACGCATCATCATCATCATCAGAATTGATATTAGGCACACCATGAATTCCATATGGATCGTACAGTTTATCAATAGCGGTCCTGTCAGCAGGTTGATGAGAAAAAGGGCATTCCACAGCATCATGATCTAAACTTCCACATCGTGCGCAAACTCTCGCATATGGGCAAGCCCTGGCATTATGGCCTTGTAGCTTAAATAAACTGCAAGTTTGGAGTCTTCGCTGGCCAGATTTGCTTGTATAATCCATCACACCTTTTTTCCGATTCACACGCTTCCGACCTCGGCCAGCATGGTGGACAAGTTTAGTGTCATCTGGCCTGATCTGCCACGTTGCCTTTGGCCATGGTTCCATGATTGGGTTGAATTCTCCAGAAAACTGCTGGTACCATTGATGCGTAGTGTAACATGGATCAAAAAGTGGGAAGGGATCGTCACCTAGCTCACGGGCAACTCGAAGTGCATGGGAACAAGGAAATCTAAAAGTCTGCCACCTTCCGCAAGTGCACTCTCGATTTGCATACAGCACAACTTGCTTCTCGTCAGCCTTCCATGGTTGATTATCAGGTGCTATTGTAACCACTTCGTACTTCTAGTTTCTCTTGCTAAACCGGTTGACCTTTTGCGTTAATGATTTCTTCCGGGCCTCTTCATACAGTTTCATTGGAGTAGGAGGTAGAACAGTCTGACATTTTTGGATCATATCAATGTTTGCCTGAAACAGATTGTTGCTTTTCTGAAAGGATGCTAGGATCAATCTTGTGATCGGGAAGAATCCAAAGACCTTTCAAGACATTATTGAAACTCTCGAGATGTTAGTGGTCATTTCTCCCCAACGATGCCCTCCATCGTGTAAACAGTCCATTTCTCAACACCCACTTAAGCCAACGAGCAGCAGGCTCATTTTTCTTCTAATTTTTGCCACTCGCCAAAAACCTTGTCTTTTGCGTCATTGAACCAATCATTTGACAGTTGCCTCAGTTTCTCCTTTCGAAAATGCCCAACCAAGTTTGCTTTAACATGCTCTAGACAATACCGGTGGACGCCCATCTCTGGGAATTTTTGCAACATGATGTCCATGGCGAGTAGGATACCCCGATTTCAATCGAGATAATACAGTCTTCCTATCCCGTAGAACAAACTTTTCAAATACTTCAAAACCATTTCCAGTGTGTATAGTCTCTTCGTCCACAAGAGCAAATGCGATGGGAACAATCGTGCCATTTGCGCACTTTACGCATGCCACAATTAGTTTTCCTTTGTAGGATCCTCGCAGTGAGTGGCATCGATGGTTATTACGGCCAACAAGCATGAAATAACTGTATAGATGGCCCAAATGCCCAGAAAACATACCTACATACAAACCTTTGCGAGGTTCCTGAATTTTCCTTAAACTTGAATTGCACACAAGTGTACGGGTTTGACATGAACAATGCATCGAGAAAGCTGGGCAATTGTTGAAAATTACTTTCCCATGTACCATACAGAGCCTCAAGTGCTTTTCTTCTACCATGCCATGCCTTCTTGTAGCT